CTATACATATTAATCAATATATATATTTATTTTCTTTAGATACTGTTTTTTTTCATTTTCAGCTTAGAGTATAATTTTCCCATCCGAATAATTAATAAATTTAGCGGATCGAACTATGTCAAAAATACTTACGGTATACAGTACAAGTATATGTGGTGTATAAAAATATGATCAATTCGATTTCTTCTTTGAAAATGTGTTGTAAGCTTTTGGTAAGAAAATTTGTTTAATACTTTAATTCATACTGATATTGGAAGTTTCCTGATGCGTGACTGGTGCAGATCAAACCTATCCATTCCCAGCGTTATTCTGAGAACAAGCTCCATATAGCGACCAAAAAGAAGTCAGCGTTATAAGAATAAGTCTTATAAAGTTATTTCTGTATTCTTATAACGAAGTCAGGAAAATATCTTCAGTTGGTAAAACTGTACAGATTGGTATAACTTTTCATAAAGCGAACATGAAAGAGCCAAATTCGGGTATAACCCAACATTTTATACTTTGTTAACTTGCAATATACCTTCAAGTGCCGCAAAGAATTTTAAACTAGGCGAAATATTGCATTGCCAGATTCTTACTGTATTTCATTAAGATTTCTTACATATGGACCGATAAACGCGATATAAAGTCAACCGAAAGTTCAAAAATATTAATATCAGGTATATGGGGCTAAGGGAAGTATTGATCCGATTTCACCCATTTTCGGTACAAGGCATTGGAGTCTACCAGAAAGTTTCTGGAAATTTAAACTGCCCACACTTTTTTCTTGTTAAGTTGGTAGCACTGTCCCTAATTATTATGCCAAAAATGCGCGCCATCTATCAACCAGTTTGTGTGCAGCTATTAAAATCAGTCGACTTCAGTAGTGTTTTGCGATTTTTACAATTTTCTGTTTCGAATCAAATTTAATGTGCGAAATCGTTGCGAATGTTATAAAAAGATTATGGTGAATCTATTCTATCGAAAACCCAAGTCTACGAATGGTACAAAGCCTTTGAGGATGGTCGAGAAATGCCCCATTTCGATCGTGCTTCGACGTCTACCACTGACGATAACATCAAAAAAGTGAAAGGAATCGTGCTCGAAAATCGTCATGCGAGTCTTAGAGAGATAGCACGACAGCTAAACATCGGACGTAAATCAGTTAGTTTCATTTTGACCGATAAGTTGGGCATGAGACGCGTCAATGCTCGGCTTGTTCCAAAAGAGCTGAAATTTTTGCAAAAAGACCATAGTTGTGAGAGACTTTAAGACCAAAAACTCATTCGATACAATCGATTAAACACCGTATTCACCGGATTTGGCCCCATCGATTTTGTTTTGTTTCCGGTTTTGACTCGAGTGAGGCCGTAAAAGAAAATTCGCATAGGATACTGAAGGCGATCCCAGACTGCGCCTACAAGGCATGTTTGGATGATTGGAAAAAGAAGTGGCATATGTGTATCGCTTTAGAAGAAACAAATTTTGAAGGCGATCAAAAAAATATTGATGAAGATTAAAAAATTTTCGTTGTATTTATAATTTCTGGAAACTTTCTGGTCACAATAACATTATAAAAAACACAGCACTTCTTCAAAAACAGTATACATCATCGGGCGGATCTGAAAGACTAGAAAACTAAGCTTTAAGGTATATACTATATACCTACACCTACATTGTAAAATGGGGTGTGTACTACACTATACCAAATACAATCATGAAAATGCTTTCCTGGATGAAACCCTCGTTTTAAGAGTTAGAGTTCTTAATACAACTTTAACAAAAATATTTACGGTTATGTAAGCAAAAGGGCACCGAAAGCTTGATATCGAGTGATAATAATTTTCTGAAATAGTGTGACAAGTGTACCAAGCTTCACCAAAATATTTACATTTTTTCAAGTTATCGCATTGTCTACCTACGTACGCACATACACTTGCCAAATTAGACGAAGTCTCCTCAGCTACTTATGGTTGAATATTAAATACTTTACAATAAAAACAATAAATACATGGACAGACAGCGGTATACAAGACAACAGCTGTTTCTTTACATTGCAATTTGAAGCTGTAAAACTTGAAATTTCCACCAAAAGCCTTTGTGAGCAGGTGTCGCATATGCCGGGCGACATAACAGCTCAAGTAAGGAGAACTTCTTTGAATTATGCATTTTGTTAGTAAAAGTAGCATTAAAGTGAACGAATACAGCCAACAAACTATGCAAAGTATTTCGCACAAATGCTTTCACACACGTACACACATACAAGTATAAAATACAGCGAAACATAAGGTAAGCATGGTCCAGCAGCGGTAAATTAATTTTTAAGTGCTTATGAAGCTATGAAGCCCAAGCGTGCACACAAACATACATATACAAACACATAAGAGGAGCTGTGGCATGCAGAAACTATGGCGGGCGCTCATATGTGTGATAAAGTTGACACGCCAAGTTGCTTAAATACAGTTTGGATGCTCTACACTGTTACTTATGTGCGTCGAAAATTAAAATAACAGCAATGTACCTCAACTTTTTCTGCAAACTTAGCGCATGCATTTTTGTAATGGTTTCAATTAAGTTCTATTTTTGACAACATTGGGTGGCATCACGGTAGTTCACAGTACACATCAATAAACACACATACATAAATAATAACTAAGTCGGTTTCATGTCGAGCAGGTACATATGCAGAAATTCTTTAAAACGCTTAAAGAATGTTTGAACAAAATTCCTTCGAAAATTTTCTTTAGTTTTGTTGTGGTTTTTGAAGAATTTTAATAAACTCGCTATTTACATTCTTGTCGATAAAGATATTAATACCAAACCGAATGTTTTCGTTCGAGTTCATTAGCTCATTGTACCCAAAAATTGTTTCACATACTTTTAAAGCGGTTAGAAAGGGGTTTTCATATATGAGATGAACGTATTCGCAGCTACATTGTCTATACAAATTTTATGGTTAGCTTCTCTTTGAAGTAGTTATAACCCACAAGTTGCCATTTTTATAAAACATTTAACTATTTGGCTAACTTCAAAGCATATAGATAATATATATTTAGTAAAAAATTAAGAGTACTAACCTTAGCTAGAATAATGTCAAGGTTTCGCGCCATTCGAGATCAATAACTTGAGTACGATTGCATAAGTACTCGAGTTATTGATCTCAAAGTGACGTGAAAATTTGTGAAATTATGTTGGGTGGCCACATTCGGCATATCAACTAGTCATCACCTACCATTTTCTACAGATTTGGCCACCACGGCTATTTCGTTTTTCTTTGTCACAAAAAATAGTTCGTTGGAAAAAGATTTTACTGTAATAAGGTGGTCACATACAAATATTTTTTTTTTTAGTTAGTATTGATGGTATATTGTTAATAGGCGCTTTTCACTGACATCATTCTGGACATACTATAAAGAAGGTAAGACATTTTCTGCAGGTGCTCTTCTTTTATAAGTTATTTTTATACTCTGAACAGGTTAGAGCCAATTTCGTTCTGTCCGTATATATGTCTGTCTATATGTCGCACGTCCTTTTCTCTTAAAGAAGCTGCACATTTGGCTAAAACCAACGATATCGAACATATGGGTGCTATCAACTAAAAGATCATTTTTTATTATTGTATGGAAACCTTTTTTATTTGACTAGATATCTTCATGAAATTTGGCATATAGTAACGGTGCAATCTGCGAACAAATTATTCAGATGAGACCACTATAGCATATGAATGCCATAAAAACTGACCGATCAAAAGCAAGTTTTGGTATGAAACCTTATGTATTTGTGAGGGGTATTATGGCTTCGATGCAGCTGAAGTTAACGTTTTTACTTGGTATACTTTGAACAGGGTTTCCCACAAAGTTTGCAAAAGCCAGAAAGAAACATCAGAGACCCTATAAAATATGTATATAAATTATCAGCATGACAAGCTGAGGCGATATAGACATGTCCGTCTGTCTGTCCATCTGTGCGTCGGCTAATCCGTCTATATAGAAGTACGCGAACTAGTCCCTCAGTTTTTGAGATATTAATCTGAAATTTTGAACATGACCTTTTGTCTGCAAGAGACTGCTCATTGGAGCTGATATCGGGCTGGATTGTTGGAACTGATATCGGGCAAATATAGCATATAACTGCTATATAACTGAACGATCGATATCAAATGTCTGTATAGAAATACCTTTCGTTTGACGAGATATATTTACGGGACGGAAATTACCGATTTTCTTATAAGAAATACTTTGTATTTGTGAAGGGAACTATGGCTGCGGTGCAATCGATGTTAACGTTTTTTCTTGTTTTTCTTTAAAGAACTATAGAATATTTCTTTTATCCGCCCTTTATCCTCTCTGAAATCAGTAAGTGAGTTTATCCGAACTTAAAGGCCAAGAAAAAAACATCTTAACCGTTACTATTAGTACGTGGCTAAATGACCACTCAATCCCCCCTCACCGTAAGACACTGTCACAACGATTAGTTCCTTGAGCACCCGCCGAAATCGACTCTCTTTCTTTTTTCAATTATTTTGTGCTAAAGGTGAGTGAAGTGAAAATTAATTTATTAATTAAATAAACATGGTCCTTCGAGCCCTAGTGGACGGCACTATGGGGTACAAAACATAAAAAAAAAAAAAGAAAAAATGTTTAAATAACGTGGAAAAAAATAATAATAATAATAAAAATTAACAAACAGTGAAAAAAAAAAAGAACCGGTGCATTCAAACAAACAACAAGTGCAGTGAAAAAAAAAAACAAACAAAAAAAAAAATATATCTATATTGTATGTACATAGAATTGTGTATTGTATGAACGAACGCAAAGTGCAGTGGACAGTGAAAACAAAAAACATCTAAAGTGCGGTGAAGTGTATTAAACACATTATATAAAAAGTTATTATACATACATATATGCACAGTGTTTTCCGAAAAAAAAAAAAAAAAAAAAAATTTATATATATATATACCTATACATATATATCAAAACTAAAAAACCTCCTTATATGCATATTAAAAACATAAAATAAACAGTGTCTTAAAAGTGGTGTGACAAAATCATAAAAAACAGAGAGATAAAAGTGTCAAAATACATATTAATTTACATACAAATAACAACAATAAACACAAAACGGGCGCGAAAATAATCACAAAGCAATTGCGGGCGCGATCCTAAAACCAAATTTAATCTTACAAGTTTATACAAACAACACATACGGGCGCGAATTAACAAAAACAAATACACAAAGGCAACACCTAGCATACAAACTCAGAAACAACAGAGGACAAAGGAATCGGAAAGAAACACAGAAGAACACATAGACGTACATACACGTAACTAATTACCCACTCGCAAGTACATATATTCCCCACAAGCCCTTGGAGGAAATCAAAGTGAGTCCATTCGATTCCTTTTCTTATATTTATGCATACATATGTATATTCATTGCGAATTACAGATTATATTTTGAACAAAAAACTGTAATAAAACATTAAAAAACCGTTCAATATCTTGGTAACGGGTGCCAATTTGGTGTAACGTACCGGTTTTAAATTGCGGGTTAAAATAACGAAAACCGTTATTGTATATATAATACATTCATACACATACATATATACGACAGACATATATATGTATATAATATATAATAATTGACTACCTGCTTACCTTCGTGTATTAAAACACAATATACAAAAACAAAAAAAAAAAAACCAAATTTAAGTATTTCAATACTTACAAATTTTTCCGGCAATACCCCTTACGCTTAATTAAGCATAAGCAGGATTGCGAATAATATGTGAGCAAAGAAAAATCAAACTTAAAGCATAAAGGCAAAATAAATATACATACATATATACAATAAACGAAGTAAACGGAAAAAAGAAAAAAAAAAAAACAAAATATATATATATATATATAAGTACCAAAAGGAGTACTTCATTTACTTCTAACATAATAATAACATTATATATGTAAAATTATATACAGTGCATAGTTACGTATACATACATATGTATTCTAAATATTAAATATTAATCATTTATATCGTATACAACATATCGTATTTTTCATACATATGTATATTTCTTATACATCATTTATACAATAATAAAAACCTTACATACGTACATACAGTGCTTTTTGAAAATTGCGACATTACCTGCTATTGCCAATTTCTCTCTCGCGCTCTTTTACGATTATACTGATTCGCTTTTTGCTTTACTTACAGTATACAATACGCTTATACTATATTACCCTATATATGTACATAGGTAAATACGTTCGGTAAATAAAACGCGGATTATTTAATAAAAATCATACTATTTTATATAAATAATACAAAATTTTGACAATATACATACATATTGGTTCAAACTAAATTTATATTTATATTCAAAGTCCACTTTGCATATATCCCGCAATACCCTTGCAGCAAGCAAGCAGGATTGCGTACAAAATTTTCCAGCACAAATAATTCGTGCTACTAGTACAAGGTACAAAGTGCATTGATCTCTTCAACGAGCTCTCAATTGCACAAGTACATATATACATAACTACAATCCAAGCATTAGTATACCTACATACCCCTAAATAAGGACATCAAAAATAAAAATAAAATAGATAAACAATTTATTCAATACATGTTAAATTAAATTAAATAAATACGCACCGGTATCTATAACAACTGAATCCGGGTATTTCAGTTATTTTCAAATTAAGAACGCTAATTAACAAAAAAAAAAAAATTTCCGGTTATACATATATACGAAAATTAATCTTAATTTTGTTTAAAGTGGAAAACTCTACTCACTAAAAAGAGCTTTCGTTCAGATTTCTATATACGAAGAAATTTCCTGAATTATCCATCAGTCGACACTGAGGAATTTTGAATTTATTTCACACAATTTTTAAATGAGCTCAGACTCAAAGAATCAAAAACATCTCAATTGTTAAAAGTACCAAAGATGATTTCAGATGATAAAAGTCCATGTACACCCAGAAGCTACACGCTCAAAACAAGGTGCTACAAAACAAAACGGTGAAAGATATTCATACACCAAATTTATCTCTGAGTGACAGTATAATACGATACTGCACTCGATTTTCATCTTCGCCGATTCAGGACAATTCTGAATCGGTATTAGAAATTAAAAAAGACAATCTTGACAATTTTTGGACACGTCTCCAAGCTGCATATGACGCAATCGTAGAATCTGACGACTCAGATCTACCTGAAAATTTTAAATCCTCGGCTTACGCCAAGTACGAAAACTGCTTAGACCAGTTTGAAGAAACAAAAGCTATGATTTCTGATCAATTAAAGCTAATAAAAGCGATTGCACCTACTCCGCATCCGAGAGTAGAGCTGCCACAAATTCAAAGTCATGAAGCAAGTTCAGGCATCCATCTCAAGGTGCCCACATGTGATACAGAAATCTTTCATGGTGGTTATGAACAATGGCCGTCCTTCCGGGACATGTTTACAGCCGTTTACATAAACCACCCAAAATTAACAAATGCGCAAAAATTGTATCACCTCCGATACAAAACAAAAGGTCAAGCAGGCGTCATAGTAAAACAGTTCGCACTAAATGACGATAATTTCAATCTGGCTTGGGAAGCTCTAAAAGCGAGATACGAAAATGAAAGAATATTGGTCGATAAGCAAGTAACGATACTAATGAACTTGCCTAAAATTCAGAAAGAAACAAGTGATGAATTCATTAGACTACAATCCACTGTTTCTAATTGTTTGTCGGTTTTATCGACACAAAATATTCCCACAGACAGCTGGGACCCTATTCTGGTAAATATATGCACCGCGGCATTACCAGAAAAATCGTTACTTTTGTGGAGCAATCCGCTCATCTCGAGAAAATGCCCAACGTGGCAGCAAATGAAAGAATTTCTAACTACCAATATGAAATAGCAGAAAGGGTAGACAAAAACTAGTTAGAACTAAAACGTTCAAAACGATCTCAATAGAGCTTTAATAGACCCCAAACCAGTAGCAATAACCATTTAAATAGAAGTTTCTTTAAAAATCAATCGTTCACGTCAGAACAGTATAAACAAACGTCATGCGAACTGTGTACAGGAGGGCATAAACTTAAATCTTGCGATAAATTCAAAAAATTAAATATTGTCGATAGGAACAATTTTGTGAGAACAAAAGACTTTGTACAAATTGCCTATCACATGCACATCACTTAAAGAGTGCGAAAGCAAATTTAATTGCGTTTATTGTCATAAACGACATCATTCAATGCTGCATTACAGCACATTTTCCAGCTCACCCCAAACAGCGCAAATATGAAAGAAGCCACGGGTTTAGTTGCAACAGCAAATCCCGAAGTGCGAAATCCCGATAATTGCCAAGAAGCACCATGCTGCTCAAAGGCATTAAAAACCAAACGCTACACAGCGAAAACAAAGTAGGGGACTAACCACAGCAGTCGTCTCCATCGAACACGAGGAGAGCTGTTTAAACTTAGGGCCTTAATAGACCAAGGATCACAACGATCCTTCATAGCGTCTAGGGCACAAAATAGGCTACAACTGCCAACAAAACAAGCCAACTTTGAATTACAGGAATGGGCGGAAGAGTAGTTCAAAACTCTAATAAAATCTGCCCCATTACCTTAATTTCCCCCAAGCGGATAAGCACATACAAGCAGAAGCTATAGTCTTACCGCAACTTACAAATATGCTTCCAAGCTATCACATACATAGCAAGCATTGGCAAAAGGTTTCACACCTAAAGCTAGCAGATCCCAACTGCAACACCCGCTCAAATAGACCTTCTATTAGGAAGCGATCCATACCACAGATTATACTCGAAGGTATTGAGAAAATATCAAATACACTTCTGGACAAAATACTATTTTCGGTTGGATCCTAAGTGGACTAGTTCCGGAACCATTACAACCATGACTACTCAGGTTGAGGAAATCTCAAACGAATACCTCAATTCGCAATTAAGAAATTTTGGGAGTTAGAAGAGCTCCCCCTATATCAATTACAACCCAGAAGATCAGTATTGTGAAGACTTTTCAAAGCCACAACTACTAGATCAGATAATGGTCGGTACGTCGTACGACTACCACTAAAACAACAATTTCCAACACAATCGCCTTAGGTCACTCTCGCACCTCTGCAATACAGCAGTTTCAAAGTATGGAAAAAAACCTACTTAAAAAAGCGAACTCAAACCAGTATATGATGGTGTGTTGGAAGAATATCTCCATTTAGACCACATGGAGGAAATAAGCCCATGCGAAAAATCATCAACGGCAAATACTACTCATTTTATTTGCCGCACCATGCAGTAGTAAAGCCAGACAAAAAACAACTAAAGTAAGAGTTGTCTTTAATGCATCAAGATCCACTAGCTCGGGAATTCCCTAAATGATATTCTATTTACGGGACCCACGCTCCAACCAGATTTAATGCTACTCATTTAAATTGCGTATATTCAAATACGTATTTAACGGAGACGTCGAAAAAATGTATAGGCAAATAGTCGTACATAAAGACGATCAAGATTTTCAGCGAATTATTTTCCGAAAATCTCCCAATAGTCCACACGCGACTATAAACTTAAAACAGTTACCTTTGGCGTCAACTGTGCTCCATATTTAGCCATTCGAACACTCCAGAACTGGCAGAAAACACAAGGTCAGAATTTCCTCTGGCAACCAAGTGTTAAAAACACAAACATATGTAGACGATATCTTGTCTGGAAGTCACAGTCTTCCACAAGCATACGAGTCACTCTCACAAGTGGTAAAAGCCTCAAAACCGCAGGGTTTCCGTTGAAAAGATAACGGCGAACCACCCTAATATCTTAAAGGACATACCTAAAGAAAATCTGTTGATACCAATTTCCTTAAATTCGAAAAGAAGTACAACAAAAATCTGGGGATCCAATGGAATGCGATATCTGACCAGTTTTCATACACACAGAGTCAATATCTGCATTATCCGCCATAACGAGAGACAAATTCTATCCTCTGTGGCGAAACTTTTCGACCCGCAGGATGGCTTTCGCCAGTTATGATACAACAAAAATCTAATACAAGAATTATGGCTAGATGGAACCGACTGGGACGAACAAGTAAAACCACTTCGTTTAGAAAAGTGGTCCCAGTTTGCAAACAATCTAAACGATATCTCACAGATACAAATCCCACGTTGGGTAAATTATGCCCAGAGCACAAAGTCGAACTACACGGCTTCTGTGACGCCTCTGAAAGGCATATTGCGCAACTATATATGTTCGCACACAAAGCGCAATGCGACCACATGCCACTTACTAGTAGCAAAGCAAAGTGGCTCCTTTAAAAACAATAAGTCACCACGACTTGAATATGTGGAGCGCACTACTGGCCAAACTCGTGTCCATCGTACAAACGCAATTAAACATGGCACAATAAATTATATCTATGTCCGATTCCGAAAATGTACTAGCCTGGTTAGAAAACCACCACATGCATGGAAGACGTATATTTCAAACCGAACGTCTCAAATCCTTGACCTAGTAGGATCAGCCACTTGGCGACATGTAGCCAGTGCTGACAATCCTGCTGATCTAGTACAAGAGGATGCAAGCCCTGCATCTTGCCACCACCACCCTCTGGTGGAATGCCCCGATGGTAACAGAATCTCCTGATTCGTGGCACAATCGCCTATGCGCAATATAATTCCCCAGAAAGTCGAAAAAATCGACTCTTTTCACACAACAGTGGATGATACTGACATCCTCGAACGATTTTCATCGTATCCCGAGCACTCAGGGTAATCGCTTACATGCTCAAGTTCATAGAGCGACTCAAAATTAAACTTAAGGGAGTAACTTCATTACACTCCAATGCGATACAGTGACGCACCTAGACTTACAAAAACAAAGGTCGCTCTTATCGCATCTACGCAAGCGCGCTACTTCAGCCGCGATATATCACTTTGAGAGAATCAAACCTATTGACACGAGAAGTCCCCTCTTAGTTCTAAACCCATTCCTCGACACGAAAGGTCTTCTTCGTGTGAATGGTCGGCTTGCCAATTCAAGCCTAACGTATAACGAACGCCATCCCATAATTGTTCCAGAGAAGTCTCGACTTGCCCACTACTCATCAATTATATCCACATATAATGCTTCATGCCGAACATCGCCTCATGCAACATATGGTCCGCCAGGAATTTTACATTCCCGACTTAAGCCCCAAATAAAAAAGTGTATTTTCTTGTGCAAAATCTGTACCACGCACAAGCAAAGATGAGACACAGATTATGGCAGCACTTCCCCCGGAACGCTGCAACTTCGCTCTGCCTTTCTCCATCACAGGTGTCGACTTGCTGGGCCTTTTCAAATAAAGGCCATTAAGGTCTCCACTCTATGCATTAGGCTATGTGGTCTTGTTGTTTATCGGCACTAAGCTATTGCTAGTCTTACGAAAAGCACGTGACTTGAGCTTTTACTAATCTGGACGGGAGCTTTCCTTGCGGCATTTGCCCGCTTCGTCGGTCGACGCGGCTTTCCATCGAAGATCATGAGCGATAATGGTAAAACATTTATCGGTGCTCAAAGAGCCACCGAAAAACAATTTGTGACTTTATCAAACAAGTCTCACCTGAGATTGTACAAAAGTACGCGCCCCAAGGCATTAATTGGCAATTCATCCCCAAGCGCTCCTCATATGGGGGTTTATGGGAATCAGCTGAAAAAGCTTCAAATCCCACTTCAAAAAGTAGCTGGAAATTACAAATTCAATTACGAAGAATTCACGACATTATTAATTCGAATTGAAGCCGTTCTCAATTCACGGCCTCTTACAATCCTTTCGCAAGATCCTCCGATTTCACAGCCTTAACTCCAGGGCACTTTCTCAAAGGAACACCCATTCTGGCCATACCTGAGCCAGGCGTGGAGTCGCTATCCTTACTAAATCGCTGGGAAAGAATTAAAATTCTCCATCACGATTTCAGCCGTCGATGGAAAGTAGAATACATAAAGGATCTCCATAAACGATACCGTTGGAAGACTCCTGAACAAGCACCAAAGCTTGGAGATTGTGTCATTATCCATGATGATTGTCTACCTCCTACCGAATGGCGGCTTGGGCGCATAGAAAAGCTACATTACGGCTCCGACGGTCACATACGAGTGGTTGATCTTCGTACACAAAGCGGAATGCTAACCAGACCGCTCGTGAAGCTATGCTTTCTCCCAACTGCCGATAATAGTGACACAGCAAATCGCACACAATCAACCGATACTACCGCAATTCAATAAAATAACCAAATCAATAAGCAAAAAACCGAAAAACTCGTTAATAACCGTTTAAATAACAAATACCTAATAAAAAAAAATGGTCGATCAATACGATGACCCATTCATGCCACATAACGTGGCACGATCATCCATATCCTTTCTATAACAAGTCTGCATTATTAAACAACTTTTTCATACAGATTAACATGGATGTGGATACGCCAACTACTCCCACGCCAACTGTGCGGTCGGCTACCAACGTGCCACGCACGGGGCCTACCCCAACGCCCCGATCTGCAGCTGCAACTGCCCCTGCAAGCGCACCTGCAACGACACCTAGGTCAGCACCAGTTCCTCGCGGTGGCACGCGACCTTCACCGACGCTATCATCGCCGCCTTCAGAGGCACATCGTATACGATGTCCCATTTGTCGGCGCCCACATCGTCTGCAACATTGTGGGATTTTCAGGAGTATGCGACCGTTACAACGACAACAAGTTGCCCAGGCACATGGGCACTGTCTAAATTGCCTATCGCATACGCATGGGACTCAAGAGTGTGTGTCCACGGGTCTGTGCCAAATGTGCAGCAGACCACATCACACACTCCTTCATCGCACCTCGAGGCGCGACGTTGGTCGGCCACCTACTCTGCGGATCCGCGCAACAGGACCTCGACCCTCCATTCGTGCGGTACACCCGCGGAATGTAACCCCACGGCGTCGACAGCCTAGACCGCAACCACGTCGTTCCAATGGACTGAGCAGCGTTGTGGAAACGTTACAACAGCTGCAGCGGCTACTAGGCTAATAATTTGCCTAGGGGGCCGGGATGGCTAAATGACCACTCAATCCCCCTCACCGTAGACACTGTCACACTACACCAATTCACACCACACATTCCACACCTACATACCATACATTCCACATCACTACACCATGCACCAACACGCACACAAATACAACTTAACACCGATCACACCACCATGAAGACATCAACAGATATATAAGGAACCAAAAGAAGGATCCCGCTGCCCTTTTTTGCATCGACTCGCTAGCGATTAGTTCCTTGAGCACCCGCCGAAATCGACTCTCTTTCTTTTTTCAATTATTTTGTGCTAAAGGTGAGTGAAGTGAAAATTAATTTATTA